GTATACCCACATGTGTGTGAGTTCATGTGGAGGGCAGAAGTCAACACCATGTCCAACTTTTATGTGGAGACAGGGGATTCAGACTTAGGTTCTCTGCTTGTGAGGCAGACTCTTTGCTGACTGAACCAGCTCCCTATTTCTGGGGACAGGTTTTTTTTAAGAACAATCCATGTTGGTACATAGCAAGTCTCACCATGCTGCAATAGTCTTTCTTTTTATGTCCTTTTCTATAACTGTATCAAGATCTACTCAAATCCACACTATATGTGTGAACTATCAGGACAATGGAATTCAGAATAAATCAACAGTTTGTATAGCTAGGAGCTATAGGCTAAGTAACTAAAATTGAATTGCTAAGAATGAATTATGGATCTCAGCTCTATTCTTTGTCTTGTTATTCCATATTTAGCATACTTTTTCATGCATCAAAATATCAAACTCTTTCGCTGAACAGTTAATAGCATTGTAAGTATCATTTAACAGTATCGAAAATCAAAGTATCTCATTTACCTTACAAGGAGAAATACCACTGAGTCTTATTTAAAAGACAGACTTAACATACATACAGAGAAAATCTGGAAAACATTACAAACCCCAAGAAGTAGAGCCTTGTGACAGGGAAAGACACTTTAAGGGAAAGTCTCTGGATGCAATAAGACTGAAAGGCATGGTATATTGAATTGCTGAATCCTGGTCAAAAATCACGATGAGTCTGGAACACCATTCATGCAGGATCTTGATTTCTTTAGTCTTAATTCCAAAGGACCCAGAGGAGGGGATCACACCGTGATCATTCGTTGCCTCTGCTACTTGTCTATGCTCTCCAAACAAGTCATAAGTGCTCTCCCTCAAGGGAGTTCCCCTCTTCTTAGGGCTATCTCCTTTCCCTGTAAGAACCTCTCTAAAACTGTAGAAGTGAACCAGACAGTGCTCACAAAGCCACAGTGAGAGCTGTGTTAGCTACTGCTTTCCTCCAACTATCATGAGTACATCTCATGTAACTTATATGGCTTTGTTGGGTTTTTGTGTCTTCTGCCTCACTATATCTCTCTCGTCACAGTAAGAGTTCAAGGGTTGTAGGGTCTCTCAACTCTCTTGGTGTCCAAGGCAACTAATTTCATTCCCATATTATAAATATGGGGAAATGATGTTGAAAATGTTGGGACAAAAAGAGAAAGGAAGTGTAAAATCAAGCTGTAATGTCCCCCTTGACAGAAAATCTATCAGTAAGTAGAATCAGTAGCATACAGCTCCATGTGAAACGGACTGAATGAAAATGAGAATCATTTCATCTTCCCGGGACACCAAAAGACAGGTGAGTGGGTGGAGGTCTGAGCCTCTAAGTACAAAGATTATACCTGGTGACTGTTCTCACTCACTCTAGATTTTTCTCTCTACTGGCTCAGCTTCAGGCAGCCTCTCCCAGGTACTGGCAAAGCTCCAAGCTTCTGTTCTGCCAGCTGTAACCCAGCAGGAAGTAAAGGCCTGTTTTGTTTTGGTTTTATCATTTCCTGACAAGAAGGACTCTAGGGAATTTTTCTGACATGGACACGATTATGTCATTTGCCGACTAGTGAGTATACCAAAGCATCTAGGATGTGTAGACTGAGGTACAGGGAACTGCCAGTACTCTGTGGGACTGACAGCTTACTCCCAGAGCTGTGGAGTAGGATCCCTTGTCTTGAATCAGTACTGGGAAGAAAGAGAGATAGCAAGGACTGCAAGACAGAGTCCTGGTTTCCAAAAGAAAGTCAGGACTCTAATCAAAGGCAAAAAGGAAGGAGCTTAGATCAGGCATAAAAGACAAATCTATGAGAGATGTACTCAATGAATACTTTGGATTGAACAGATTGAGAGTCTTGGGATGTTTTAGTTATTCATTTTTATTTTATGCGTATGAGTGTCTGCCTAAATGTATGTATGGCTACCACATTCACGATTGGCACCCACAGAGGCCAGTTCTAGGGCATTGGATTTCCTAGAACTGGTATACAGAGTCAGCTGTTATGTGGGTGCTGGGTACCAAACCTGGGTCCTGTGCAAGAGCAATAAGGGCTTCTCTACATCCCTGGGCCCGGGGATTTAATGCAGAATAAAGCTATCTTCATTCTTTCCTCAGCCAGACTCTTTCATTATACTGAAAGCACTAACTGGAATAAAAGAAGACTGGTAGTTGAGACATCTTGTTTCCTGGTGGTAAGCAGGAAAAGCAGCACGGACTACTAGACTATTCCTGTATCTCCATCCACGCTCAGGATTTAAAAGATCTATCACATGGTCCTCATTAAAATGGAAATACATAACAACTATGTTATGAAGGTTAATGAACTAATGCTAGGGATGATTCCATTCTCTTCATATTGGTGCTAGTGTGACATTAATGTCTGGGCATAGAACTACTCACACAAAGTGTAATTGGCTGGAGATGATGCTTAATACGTTAAAAAGAATTAATTATATTATTTTGGTAGAGTGCCCTTTTTCTTTAAAGTTTGAAAACTAGCAAGCCTAAGGTTAGGGGTTCCCTATGAAGACTGAGGGCATGTAGAGAGGAAGACCACTGGTCTCCTGTTTTGTAAGCAACTGTTGTTTTAATACACAGCTACTGGTATATATTTAGCAATTACTTTCTGAAAATTTTTTGTGCTTTGACAACTACTGTAGGAGCCTTGTGCTTGATTCTCTCTGGGTGTTCATTTATGTAGTATATCAGATTGCAGCTGGAATCCTTACAGCAGATATTTTCTATTTTCTGACATCATCGCAAAGAGACAAATGGGCTGAACAGCATCCTGCTAATACTGAAGGCAAATATTTCAGTTATTAAAACCAGAAAAAGTGCTCAAATTAGGTTGACAGAGTCTGTGAGCTTTATCTAGGAAAATAAACACCAAATGAAATGCCTGGGACTAAAATGCTTTCTTAAAACTCCACATTCCACTGGCTTTAATTGTATTCACTCTTACCATGAGTAAGATGAAAAAAATTTAAAAAAAAACAGAGACTACACCAATCTATCAGTTTTTAGCATTAAGAGAGTTAGCTTTGAGCCATGAGATATAAACATTAAGAAACAAAAACCTCCTTAGTCTTATGAATCACTTATCTCAGGACACAAATAATTCTTTATAATGTTTTCTAATAATTGAGATGACCGTATTTACTTTCATTCACAGTTTGTAGTTTTAATTACTAAAACTAACTACGTTAGATAATAAGCTTATCCTAAATTCTTTCTTCTTGGGGAAGAGTCTCACTATGCAAACCTGGGTGGTCTGGGACTCACAGAAATCCAACTACCTCTGTCTCCCAGGTGCCGGGATTAAATTATTCCTGCCCTAAATTATTTCCTAAGAGGAAGATCAATAATGAAAAATTGTGTTTTCAAAAATTCTTTTTTTCTTTGTATATAAGGATTTTATTCCTAGGTGAGTCTTGTTTTAGTAATATGGAGGCTAAAGCAATTTTTGTTTTTACTTACAATTTTAGCATTTAATATACATTGCTGTTTCATACAAATGCTAGCATTCATTCATCTTAACATTTTGAGGTAGGTACCACCACCCGTGTGCGTTTTGGAGACATGAAACTACAGCATCAACAGCAGGTAGGGTTTCATGTCCCTGTAACTAGTGGCACAAGAGTTTCTCTGACAGCTCTGGTTATCCAGCTGTCTCTCCATGCTCTCTACACACCCCTCTGCAAGAGATCCACAAGGCTCTCAGAGAGCTGTTCCCGGACCCACACCCAAACCTTCTAAAACTCAGTGAGATAACCAGCTAGTGAATGACAAAGGCTAGAGCTGAGAGTTTACAACAGCTTACCACCACCTCCAGTGAAAGCAAGATAGGATTCTCTGGAGGAGAAATCAAATCACTGGAACAAGAAAGCCCTAAAATGTGGGGAAGAAACGGGGGCTGCCGAGATGGCTCCATGCTTAAAAGCACTGGCTGTTCTTCTGGAGGATCTGGGTTCAATTCCCAGCACCCACATGGCAGCTCACACCTGTTTGTACTGTAACTCCAGCACCAGGGCTTCTGACGCCCCCCGCACAGGCATATATACAGGCAAAACACCAATGAACATAAAATAAAAATAACTTTAAAAAGAAACTATAGGGGGAAAAAAAGGGATTTGTGTCCGTAAAGCAAGCAAGCAAACAACAAAAGAGAATGAGATTGTAATCTGACACTTAGATATTTCACAGGTGCAGTATTTTTGCTACATGAATGTGAGAAGGACTCTCCTCCCCTATGTGTCAGCACTGACTTTGGTGACTTCCCTGTCTACCTGGAAGCCCTCACAGCAGCAGTAGCTCTTCAATGCTGCTTCAAGAGACCACCAGGTCTTTATTTCCTGAATTCATGAAAATCTCTTACAACGGGATGTGGTGCTCACGGGTACACTCGAGCCTCGGAAGTTCCAGAATTTCACAGAGGAAGTTTCACAGAGATTACAACACTCCGTCCTAGGTTAAACATGATTTAAGCTTTTGACACATCTTTTTCCCCAACCCCTGTGGAAGGATATGACACAAAATGTGATTTATTCGTGCTTGTTACACATCAGGAACAAACTACTCTTTATGTACAGCCCGAGATGACTATATTTCGACAGTGTACTCAAGCAGATGTAAATAAATCTTCATTTATTCTAGAAGTACCGATAAGTATGCAACAAACAGAGAAACAACCTTCTACCTCCACCCCACACACCTTACTTAATTCCTCCAGTCCTAAGTTTCCCCAAACTATTGTGTCTCCACCGATGACATCACTCCTCTGAGAAGTCACTGGGTGACCACTGTCCTCTAGCCGGTGGTCACTCCAGCGCAAAGGTCACTTCCTTCCTCTTGAGGGTTTGAGGAAGGACATCCCAGGGTCCCCCAGTGAAGGGCAGGGCACTAGGATGAGGCAGGCAGCACGCGCTCGCGCGCGCGCGCGCGTGTCCCCAGCCAACTCAGCTCAGGGGCGGGGCACTGTCCTTCGTCCTGATGCGGAGACCCTGAGCTCCGGGAATTTCCCCAGCGCGGGGGCTCGGGCTTTTCCAGCCACCATGCATAAAAGAGGTGGACCGGGCCCCAGAACCCCAGATCGCACCTCAGTGCCTCCAGCCGGCTCCTGCACTCTAGACTCTAGCTACACTTCTTCTGATCAGCGCCATGGCTCCAGCCACCCGTTCACTCCTCCGTGCCTCTCTGCTGGTGCTGCTGCTGTTGCTGGCCACCAGCCACCAGGCTACAGGTGGGACCCGCGGCTGCCTTCCCCCGGAGGAGCCTCAGGTGGACGCTACCGCCCACAGCCCTGCTGACCCAGTGTCTTTTCCCACAGGGGCAGTTGTGGCCACTGAGCTGCGCTGTCAGTGCCTGAAGACTGTATCCAGGATTGATTTCAAGACCATCCAGAGCTTGAAGGTGACGCCCCCAGGACCCCACTGCACCCAGACAGAAGTCATGTGAGTGTCTTTCCGGGCACCTCTGTCACTGCCAGAGTCTCCCAGACCCTCCTGCTGCCCCATGCTCACCCGGTGGGACCTTGTACCTTATAAAGATCCCCCTTTCTCTCTGCAGTGCCATTCTCAAGGATGGTCAAGAAGTTTGTCTCGATCCTGAAGCCCCCTTGGTTCGGAGGATCATCCAAAAGATACTGAACAAGTGAGTCGTGAGTTGTGCTTACACTTAACTGGAGTCTTGGTCAGAGTACTGGTGTGTGAGTCCTGAACATTCTATCAAGGGAAAATCAGTGTTAACCACAGACAGAAACCGGATTATTACTTTCATAGTTGACTTTGCCTTGTGATCATCAATTCACTCGGATGGCAGAAAGATATGACTTGCTTCTTCCATCTACACACTCAAAAGCCCTACTCAAATGGAGAGTCGCTATGTGTGTCCCCAAGAACACAACAGAATTGACTAGCCTTAAGTCTATTAAGATACAGTACTTATCCCTGCCCTTCCCATGTCTTTGGGCTGTAAAGTGTAACTCCTGGTTTGGGTCCAGATGCACCCCTGAGGCTTCTTGAGGAAGAACAGAGGTTTAGCAGTGGAGCCACTTGAAATTCAAGTGCAGGCTCTCCCTCTTTTCCTGTCTGAATTAAACAGACAATAACGGGTGCTAGTCATGTTTATTCTACAGCTTAAGGGAAGCCGAATCTTTACCTTTTTATTCTTCATATCATTTGGACTGCTAAAACTAGTGCAATTGGAAGCCCCAACTTTACTATCATAATTTTAAAGCATCCAGAATGTTGATTGCTAGATAGTGCATCCATGCCGTAGGTAACAAGTCCCTGGTGGGAGGCTACAGAATAAAACAAGGTCCAGATGAAGGTGAAAGAAGAGAGCTCTGTAGTCAGTCTTTCCAATACCTACTAACAGCACGTATTTTCTCATTACAGAGGCAATGCTAACTAACCTGGAAAGAATTGGAGTGTGGGTTGTTGTACTTCAAGGAGAAGAATCAAAGAGAAAAGAAACAAACAGCACTCTGGAAGCCTGGATTGTTCCTGATATGTTTTTACTGTCTGAAAGTTTAACTATTTATTTATCTATTTATTTATTTATTTTCCAATTCTCAGATATTGTTATGCTTATTGTGATATTTAAAGAGATAAGTGTGTTTGGCAATTCACTGTAATATATTAAAAAGGTCATTTTAATATGCTAAATCAAGGTTATTTTAGTTATATAGTTGGAAGGTGATGAACTTTGAGATCAATTCATTCATTACTTTCTAAGGGCGTGAGCCAAGCACCAGCTGAATCATGCCTCTAGTATGATACAGACGGGGGACAAAGTGGCAGGGAGAGGAAGGGGAGGAGGGAGGCACAGACATATGCAGTCAGATCAAGTTTTGTAAGTACTGAGTAGAATAGAACGGCTGTTATTTATTTTTCAGTGTTTTCACACTACGTGGACAGCACTTGTTGTCTTTTTAATAACTGTAATGTTGTGAATATCCCTTGGACATTTTATGTCTTCTTTGTAAGGCACAGTGCCTTGGCCAGCAATTATTTGGTCATGCTTTCTTATGTCTTGAAGTAGGAACATTTATTTATTTGTGTACTTTTACAAATAAAAAGAAAATAAAATTTTAAATTAAAACAATTCCATGCTTAGGTTTGTTTTATACATCTCAATCTTCTGTTCCTCCATTGTACCCAAGGCTTCAGGAATGCATAACAAACCATTGCTCCTACTGGGACAGTTACTAGCTGAACCCTAACCCCAACCCTAACCCTAACCCTAACCCTAACCCTAGCCTTAACCCTAACCCTAACCCTAACCCTAACCCTAACCCTCTATGTGTGAGCTATCAGAACAATGGAATCCAGAATAAATCTCAGGAGCTATATTCTATTTTCATGTACTTAAACTGAATTACTAAAAATGAATTATGAGTTCCAATTCTGCTTTGTCCTGTTAAATGACTCAGTTATGCCATATTAACATACTTTGTCTGCATCAACAAAACAAGTGCTTTATATGAAAAATTAATACATTTATGATCATCATGCTACTTAATAGTCTCAAAAATCAAAGCATCTAATTTACCTAACAAGAAGAAATTCTACTGAGTTATCAAAAGAGATGAATTTAGTCTGGTACAAGTGTTCTGACCTGAGTCTGAATTTCCTGCCCACACATAAAAGTTGGACATAGTGTTGACTTCTGCCCTCCATATGCACTCACACACATGTGTGTACACAGCCCCACAAAACAAACATACATACTATATACACATACTTGCATACATTCACATAAAACACACACAGAACGCACATAGTACACACATACACACACACACACATACAGACACACACTTCATTATTACAGTATCTTTTAAATTGACTGCAAATATCATTGGAGCCTATAAAATTGCATAGTTCCTCCTCCAGACAAGGTCATGACTTTATTAAGAGTTTTATTGCATCTTATACTTCCTTTCTCTCCTGAACAAAACAAACTGGAAAAGCATCTACTTCCTTATTGGGTGATGTCTAGTATCTTTTTCCTTCCCTTTTCAATAAAGAAGTGCAAGACAATAAATCACTCTAGAGAATGTGGTGCCTTCATCCATCAGAACTGCCCACAGAGTTTGCAAATATTCTCTGTTGTCTGCCTTGACACAGTTCGTCCTTTTACTTGGTCTATTGAAATACTTATAAAAGACAAAGCCTAGCTGGAGAGAGTTCTTGTTCCCTTTGTTTTGAGAAATGGTCCCCTGGATACCCAGATTGGCCCCAACTCTTGATCCTACTATCTCAGCTTCCCAAAGGCTGGGCTTACAGGTTTGAGTTACCATACCCAGAAATGGTTTTTGGCTTTCAGTGTAACAGAAACTGCAAGATTCTAATGGAGGGCATTCAGATTAGTTCCCACTCACAAAAATCTATGTAAGTGTGAAAAACTTTAATTACTTAGAAAACCTGACGGCAAAGATCTGGACTTCTCTTACTAGGAGTGGTGGTGGTAATATTCCCACATGTCAATCTAGACTGTTTGGTAACTGCAATTATTATACTCAACTGAGGTCTCATGTCTAACTATCATATTTATAAAGTCTTGCTGAACTGAAGCCGTTTTGTTCTTGCTGTGTTTGAGACAGAGTCTCTCTATAGAGGACTGTCTGGCCCTCAGAGGTCTACCTGCCTCTGCCTGAAGCGGTTGTTTTATACTTACATAGGTTGTTATCATGATGATACTAAAAACCTCAGATATGCCCTACAGCATTCCATAGTTTTCCTTCACTAAATGTATACTGATTACCATATTAGGAAATAACTAGACTTCTGTGAATTCTCCATGGTGATTTCTCACAGTGATGAGCTATTAGATCAATACTGAGGCCTGTTACCTTGATTTTAAATATTCATTTGTATCAGGCAATATGGGTGTCATTAGCTTCACTAAGAGTTTTGCTACCCTTATCTCACAAAGTCCATACTTGTGAGAGTGAGTTGTAGTGTCAGTATACAGAAGCATCTTTTGTTTTTCTTTTTCTACCAAGTTTATTGAAAATGTCCTGTTGACAGTTGAAAGTTCTTACTGTAGCTGCAATGAAAGAAAAGACGAGGAAACACCAGGCTATAACAAGACTGCTGGTAGTGTTTTCTGAACAGGAATACTTGTAAACTTCACCTGGATAGGAATAGGGGAGTCTATAGAAAAATGGAGAAAAGTGTCTGATAGGGGAACATTAGCAAGGTGTGAGTTAGGATGCACAGATTTAGTCTGAAGGTGACTGACCGTCCCTAATGCATTAGTTATCTTATTATTTATATTCATAAAAACCTAACAAAAGCAACTTGGATTTTATTCTGCCTTTCAGTTCAAGGGGGCAATGTCATGGCAGCAGGAGCTTCAGGTAGCAGCTCATATATTATCCACAGCCAGGCGTCAGAGAGTGGTTAATAGTGCTAGTCCACTCACCTGCTCCTTTCCCCAACCCCTTTTGTTACTGTGTTCCCGCCCGGTTCCACAGCAGCCTCAGAGCCCTCCAATAACACAGGAGACACTATATTAATTATAATGCTGTTGTTCAATGTCTAGGCTTCTTATTGGCTAGCTCTGACTTAATTTCTAACCCATTTCTATCAATGTAAGTATTTCTGTGTGTTCTTATCTTATTGGAGAAACTGTTCAGGCCTCTTACTCCATTGCGGTCTATATCCTGTCTTCCTCTGGCTATATTTCTCAGAATCTTCCTCCTATCCTAGACACACTTATTGTGCCATCCTATTGGCCATAGTGTTTTATTCATCAACCAATAAGATAAGCATATACAAAAGATCATTCTCCATCACCTCCTCTTTTTTCCTAAATAAAAAGAAGGGTTTCCACTATAACATAGCAAAATTATATACATATATGTTTATGTATATATATATATTTATCAAGTAAGAACTATAGTTAACAATATTTAGTTCATTAACATTTAGCAAGATTTAAAGAAAATATTCCATCATCTATCCAATCTTTGTGAGTCTAAAGTCTTATATGTAACTTATCTTTAATACTAACTAAGGAAAACTATAACCATAACTATCTGTCTTCAACTCCATCAAAGACCATAGAAGAATAGTATATAAACTCTAGAAATGACAGAGAACTCCCTTCCTGGTCAGTCACCCGAAGTTCTTCTGTAATGTTTCATCTTTGGAGCATAGACCATAGTGTGTCTGGCAGACTCCTCAGTAAATAAGGAAACTTTAAACTGTCTGCCTGTATTGGCAGTTTGTCAGTCACTTTTCTCTGTGTCCTATAGGATGTCTGGCATACTCTTTTGTGAAGTAGGAACCCTGTAGCAATGTCCATCTAGTTTCAGCAGTCACTTTCCTGTGGTTCCTGCATGTCCATTTTATAAAACATGAAGTCAAACAGTCCAGACAAGAGCACTTTCTTGCCCAAATGACTAGTCTTGTCATATTGGAAGTGAACTCCATAATGAGTTTCTTGATGTCCATTTTCCCTTCTGACACAGTTGGTGTTGCCAGGAGCAGTTGTGTCTCACTGTCAAGAAAAATCCTAAACCATTTTAAATGGCATATTCAGTAGGTCTTTGAAAGGTTTGAAGAATGCCTGTCCAATTGAAATATATCTCTATATATCTAGAAAACATAACTAACCTAGCTAGCTATAAGTTTTGACTATTATAGGTAACTATCTATAATTTGTACTTAATTATACATTACATTTTAAAATGAGCTATACAAACATAATACCTAAACAAGAGGAGAAATATACATATCACAAAATTGAACGAATGAAAATCAATTCCAATGTGAAGTATTCATTTCTATACCATAACCCTCTTTTAGCTTTAGAAAGAGATTGGTTGTGATAATTAACCATTTATAACCAACCCCATTAAATGAAAACAAAAAATAAACTATATTTGGGAATTTGGGGGTAAAGACCATTCCCCATCACCCTTTAATATATTGTTCTTATGGAATGTTGCTGCCCACGCTGAGGGTGGGTTTCTCTGCTCCGTCAAGCCTTTCTGTAAAACACTCTCATAGATACAACAGGAAGCATGTTTCCATGGTAATTCTAATTTCCATTAAATTACATTTAATAAGCCCATGCATACAAAAAGCAATAAGGTTAGGTGGATAATTTTACAGATTATTTCTAAATCTGTCATGCATATGAACAGAGAATATGTGAAAGATACAGTATGTTTTGTCAGATTTTCTGTTTTGTTATTTTATTTATTTATATTTTCCTACTCATTTATTTCTGTGTTTGTTTCTGCGTGTGGGCATGGAGTGCATGCCGAGCTCAGAGGACAGCTTTCAGGAGTCAGTTTTCTCCTTCTATGTGCATCCCTGGGATCAAATTCAGGTCATCAGACTGGCTTTAAGTTCCTTTACCTGCTGAGCCATCTCAATACCCCATTTACAAACTCTGTAGTTGCATAATATTATGGATGAAATATAAAATACAGATTACAGGAAAATCTACTTTTACATTTATAACACTAAAGATTCCATAAAACATTTATGTTTATGAACGCATATTATTATATTCATGCACATACATAATATATATACTGTTCTCGAAATAATGACAACACACACAACCATACACATTCCCAGCACCAAGTTCCAGAACTTTACCAGGGTTCCCATTTCACTCTGTACCCTCCCAAGGCTCAGCCACCTCTCTCCCCTCTGTCACAATTCATTCACCTCAGCTCTCTCTTGAATTTAGTATTGTCTTATCATCTTATCATTGGATTTTCAAATGCTTCTCTAGTTTTATGTAAATTTAGACAAATGAGATGATAATTATGATAATGATTCCATCCAACACTCAAGGCTGACTCATTTTGCAGAACTTCACATCAACACTTACTTGATTCTCCAAGGGCTAGAAATTTGAGTTGCTTTTAATTTTCCTACTATAAATAGTGCAAAATTTGAAATCTCAGTACTAGTTTCCAGCTAGACATATTATAGATACCCAAGACTATACATAAATATAAAAATACAGAAATGGAATTACTGGCTATTAGGTGCTGATTATTAACTTATCTCCAAGTTTAGTAAGTCATAACAAAAAATATTTTCAAAATGGTTGCGATTTATTTGGCTAAAGGA